ACTTATTAGTAGCTAAGGCTAAAGTGGCTACTCTAAAAACGCTAAGTCTAAATCGACTTGAGCTTTGTGGCGCTCTACTACTAGCAAAATTGGTTTCCGTAGTGCAGACCCACTTAAATATAAGGAAATACAGATTGCATATCTGGTCCGATTCTGAAATAGTTCTAGCCTGGTTGGAAAAACCCCCACACGCATGGAAAACGTACATTTTAATCGTACGTCACAAATACTTGACCTGGCTACGTGCTGACAATCCTGCCGATTTAGGTACAAGAGGGTGTAAGCCGCTGCACCTTGCCAGCACCCCCCTCTGGTGGAATGGCCCCGATGGTTAACAGAATCTCCCGATTCTTGGCCAAAAACGCCCACGCGCAATATAGCTGCCCCAGAAAGTCGAAAAATCGACTGCTTTCACGCAACATTGGATGATAATGACATCCTTGAGCGATTTTTATCGTTCCCTCGTTCCCTTCGAGTTATCGCCTACGTGCTAAAGTTCATAGAGCGCCTCAAAAATAAAATTAAAGGAATTCACCCAGAATCTAACCAATGACGTAACGTGCGAATGGTAGGCTTGCTAACTCAAGCCCGACGTACAAAGAACGCTACCCCTTAATTATAGCAGAGAAATCCCAACTTGCCACATTACTCCTCAATTATATCCACTTACTCATGCTTCACGCTGAACATCGCCTAATGCAGCTATAGTCCGTCAAGAGTTCTATATTCCTCGTCTTAAGCCAGAAAGATGAAGAGAAGAAGAAGATAAAGAAATGCGTTTTCATGTGCAAGATCTGCACTATGCACAAGCAGAAGTTGCGAACACAGATTATGGCAGCACGTCTACCGGAACGCTGCAACTTCGCTTTGCCTTTCACAGTTACAGGTGTCGACTTTGCCAGGTGTTTGACTTTCAGATAAAGGCGTCCATGCTAAGGTCCCCCTCTAATGAAAGGCTATGTGGCTGTCTTTGTCTGTTTTACGACAAAAGCAGTACACCTCGAGCTGTGTACGAATCTGACAAGGGAGGCTTTTCTCGCGGCATTCGCTCGCTTCGCCGACCGACGCGGCTTCCCATCAAAACTGATGAGCGATAATGGTAAAACCTTCATTGGAGCCCAAAGAATCACTGAAAAGGAGTTTGTGGATTTTATCAAACAAATCTCACCAGAGATTGTACAAAGGTATGCTCCCCAAGGTATTGGCAAAGCGCTCCTCACATGGGTGGTTTATGGGATTCAGCAGTTAAAAGCTTTAAATCCCATTTCAAAAAAGTATCTGGAAACTACAAATTTGAGTAAGCTGTTCTTAATTCACAGCCACTCACAACCCTCTCGCAAGATCCCTCTGACTTCACAGCCCTGACATCAGGGTATTTTCTCAAAGGAGCACCCATTCTGGCCATATGTGAACCAGGCGTGTGGTCGCTATTCTTGTTAAATCAATGGGAGAGAATAAAAATTTTCCATCACGATTTCAGCCGGAGATGGAAGGAAGAATATATAAAGGATCTGCATAAAAGATACAGGTGGAAGAGTCCAGAAAAGGCGCCAAAGCTTGGAGATTGTGTCATCATTCGTGATGACTGTCTACCCCCTACCGTATGGCGGCTCGGCCGCATAGAAAAACTACACTTCGGTTCTGAAGGTCATGTGCGAGTTGTTGACCTCCGCACTCAAAGCGGTATGTTAACAAGACCGCTCGTGAATCTTTGTTTTCTGCCATATAGTAACGAAATCGCATATAATAAAAAAACCGCCGATGTTCCCGCGAACAAAATTGAAATATCCAATAATTAATCGATAATCCTGCAAATAAAACCTAATCGAAACTACTAACGAATCTAACCGCAATGGTCGATCCACATGGCGACCTATTCTTGCCACATACCGTGGCACAATCGTCATATAAATTTGCAAGCAACAAATTTGTAATTATAATAACTTCTTTATACACATCAATATGGATGAGGTGAGATCCACCATTACTGTGCCACACCCTGGGGCAGCTTCAGCGCCACGAAGCCCAGCGGCAAGGCCTCCTGCAACCGCTCCTCGTAGTGGTACGCGACCACCCCCACCCTCCTCAGCACCAGCCGCGGAACCTACGCGCAGCCGATGTCCCCTGTGTCGGCACTTTCATCAGCTATAGCATGCAGCATTTTCCGTGGCATGCAGACTTTACAACACCAGAAGGTTGCTCTGGCTCACGGACACTGCTTTAATTGTTTGGCGACGGCACACAACACGCAGGAGTGTACATCAGTCACCCTCTGCCAACTGTGCAACCTGCCACACTACACTATGCTCCTATCGAGGCGAAATGAGGCATCATCACGACGTCGACAGGCTCGGACGTCATACCACCGCTCTACTGGCTTCAACAGTGTTGCTGCCATGCTACAGCAACTACAGCGACTGCTAGGCTAATATTTGCCTAGGGGGGCCGGGATGGATAGATGAGTTAGCGATCCCCCCTCAACACACGTCCTTGGACGATAACACCCCACACCAACTCGATCCACACACGAATACATCACACATGAAGACAACACACATGACAGCATCATACTGTTATTAAGTTATACAGCGTATTCACCACTCAGCAGCTCTTAAAAAGATCAGCAATAACGAGCAACGGCCCTTTTTCGATTCCCGTTCGTAGCGACAACATTTTTCCGGCGGTCCGTAAGAGCGAAGCGAGTGCTGACAACAACGTGTTTTTTTACAAATAAAATAAATCAAAGTTTTTTACTCAAATACATCAAAGTGGTTTTTTTGAAATAAATTTAAAGTGCTCAAGTGAAAGATTCAAAAGTGTTTTGCGGAAATAGCTTAAAGTGTTCACCTTAGGGAATTCTGAAATTTGAATTGAAACAAGTCAAATATGTTTCATTGGAATAATTTGAAGTTTGGAAAAGTATCCCCAAAACGGTGTAGTGAACGGTAAAGAATCCCGGGTGAGACACCCAATCGCAACAAGCGTCGTGGAAGCAGAATAAGTGAGTAAAAAGTATGCATGTCGCAATTTATATCGGAAACAAAAAATTCAAAGAGATTCATATTTGTTAACAACTTATGTTCTAGTTGTTCAAAAAAAATTTAAAATTTCGAAATTAATAATATTTGAAAAAATGTGGTTTTTGACCAAAAAAATTTACTCAATGTTCTTTAAGCAAATATTCAAACTTTCTTAAGGTTTTTTTAGTTTAAATAGAAGATAATTTAAAGCCAAAGATAATAAATTTTGCCCCAATTCCATACGACGTTTAGTTTTTTTTCTATCCTGCCAGCCATTTAAGAAAAAAATTAAAAACCCAGAAATCGTGCGTCAAAGTTTTTGTTTTCTGCCCAAGGGCTCATATATCTGCTAGACGCTCAGTCACTATTTCCCTTCTAGCTTCGGTAATGTTTCGAATTCCAAAATATATAACTTTGGCACATGTTCTTAAATAATTTTTAAAGAGAATTAAGGAAAAAAATATCGAGTTTTAGAAGCTTCCCCTTAAAGAAAATTGCAAAAGTTAATTTAACACCCAAATGCGCCTTTATTTATTCGATAAATGTCATCAAGTTTTGTCACATTAGTAAACAGCTGATTCGAATATTCGTTTTGCGTATGTTTGAAAAGACGAAAATCTAAACAGATTCCGTGACACCAATGAAAATCAGGGGTCGAATAGTTACACCCGCGATCGTATACCAATGAATGGAATATCTCATTAAAAATTAAAAAAAATATATATATGTTTAAGTGAACAAAATTTTTGCATTTTTGTTTACATTAAAAATAAAATTATTTACAAGGTTAGGGATATATACATTTTTGAATTAAATATATTAAAGAATACTTTATTTGATCTCTTATCGCTGGGTCGATTGCGGTGAGGCGGTTGGCTAACCCGGTGGCTGTTTGTTGTGTGTGCTCAGAATCGCAATTTTGTGGGTCAAAACTTATTTTAAATTTTATGCTGATGTTACGTAATGTGACACAAAAGTTATGAAATCTTCCATATTTGTGGAATGATACCCTCCTCTCTTTTGATATATTCTAAAATTCTCCAACGTCGTTTTAAGATTCCTATGCTTTGTTCAACGATACATCTACAAAGGAAATTTTGTTAAGGAGGATTCATAATTTTTTTTTTTATATTTGAACATTTATATTTTTATTATTGAACAGTTCTGACAGTTCCACATTTTTTGTGACCTAAAAATAAGATCCAAAACAATGTAGAATTTAAAAACTATTGTGAAATGAAAAAGCAATAAAATCCGGGAGTTTCTGTTGCAACTATATATTGAGATTGTGTGGATGGGACAAGCAGTTTGTACAGAGACTTTTTGATCTGACAAAATTGTTCCTTTCATTAACATTACATTTTTTAAACTTCCCGCAAGTTTTTAGCTTATGTCCTCCTGTACATAGTTTGCATGACGTGTGTTTATTTTGTTCAGATGTGAACGATTGTGTTTTGAAAAAAATTCTATGGAAGCTAAGATTTAGTCGTGTTGAACATTCTTAACTCTCACTATTTTTTTGTCTACCCTTTCAATTTGGCAAGTTAAGAAATCTTTTATTTGCTGCCACGTTGAAAAATGAGAGTGATTGCTCCCACTAAAGTAAAGATTTTTTGGTAATGCGGCGGTACATATGTTTACCAAAATAGGATCCGAAATGTCTGTGGGGATATTTTGTGCCGATAGAACCGACAAACAATTTGAAATAGTGGATTCTAGTTTAAGAATTCTTCAGTAGTTTCTTTTTGAATTTTTGGCAAGTTATTAAGTATCGTTACTTGCGTGTCCATCAATATCTCTCATTTTCATATCTTGATCTTAAAACTTCCCAAGTTTAATTGAAAGTATCGTCATTTAATACGAACTGCTTGACTATTACGCATGCTAGGTCTTTAGTTTTGTATCGATATCGATAAAATTTTTGCGCTTTTGGTTTATGTACATGATTGTAAACATGTCCCAGAAGGACGGCCTGTGTTCATAACCTCCATGAAATATTTCTGTATCTCATGCTGGCACTTAGAGATGAATGGCTGAACTTGCCTCTTGGGCATCAGTTTCTACTATTGCATCGTAAGCAGTTTGGAGGCGTGTCTAAAAATTGTCAATAGATTTATTATTTATTTCTAGTAGTATTATTTATTTGTAGGTGAAGATGCAAATCGAGTGCAGCATGTAATCAAGCTGTCAATCTCAGCTTAGAAATGCTTAGAAATCGCCAAATTGGACTTTCAATATATGTACATTTGTATGTACAGGTATGTACAAAGGTAAGTAGTATGTGAAATATTTAATTTGTTCTACAAATGCTGTTTTTATTTATATAAGTATTGGCAAATATATTCCAATATGCAAATATAATTCGCGTTTAGAAATATACGCGAAAGCAAGAATGCTTTTGTTCTTTTTTATTCTTTGTTCTTATTTCTGCCTTTTGCTTACTTTTTTGAAATAATCGATCTCACAGCTTAGTAATGTGAAGCGGTATTGCCAGAATAATTTCCAAATGAATATTTGAATTATTTTTTTTTCCTTTGTCTTTTATGTACACGAATCGAACCGTTTGTCTTCGAATCAGAGAGAGAGAACAACTTCGAATCACTAGCGATCAGCTTATACATGGTTTGTTTATAACGTTCACATTAGCAGAAAATATCCGAAGTGACGCATAATCATGCTTCACTGTTTGAAATGATCGACATCATTCGGGTTGCATATCATCCCCTAAACACTAATTTACTCGTGCACTTCTGTTCTATTTGAAATACATATGTATGTATATACATATGTTACATATACATATACATTACATATACAAACAAACGAGCTTATCCGTCCGTGTGGATATTTTCTTAGCGCTGTCCGGGAAAAATTAAATAGATTTTTTTATTTAAAAATCGAAGCGAAATTATACAATGAAAGTATGGGAAATTAATTAAAATTCTTTGTGTACCTTAGGAAGATATATGTACGAACTCGATTGAATTTCCATTTTTTGTCTCACATCATTTAAATTAATTAAGTAGAAAATTTGCTGTATTTCTAGATTTACTCCTAGTTTACACACATTTTCACATCGATTCAAACAACCGTCGCAAAGCAATGTATTGACATGATACGTTTTGAACCGACGCCAGCCATACCGTTTACTAGATCGTGATTGCCGAAGAACAGATAGAAATCAGTTGACGCTAGCGGATACGCGAATTGATCAACTATGGTGTTTATGATGAACGGAACTGATTTGATTGTGTTTTTGGGACGAGTGTTTCTTCTGATTTAATCATACTCGTTGGATCTCTCTGGTCATACATACTTGTAAGTATGTACAATGTAACAACATCTTCACAGTCTCTGCATCCGCATCGTATATCGTTACACATATGCTTCTTTGAATAACAGTCTCAAATTATGACTCAACCTTTTCATATTCAGTTACAACTAATATATATATATTCATATATACTACTATGATGAAAGTGAAAGGAATCTTTAATTTATACTTTGCGTGTTTTTCGAATCGGTGAAAGTAGGATGGAGTCATGTGTAGAAGTTCACGCAAGTGAGGAAAGTTTTCTGATCGCCATTCACTTGGGAGTGGCCAGAAACGATTCTTTTACATATGACTCAAGCAGCTCACGACTTCCGGTCCTTGACCAAGTAT